CTGACAGCTATACAAAGGCCTAGTAAAGGTTTGGTACAAAGGATTAAATATTGACATATGTACTCTTTCATAACACTGTTACACTGCAGTTTTTACCATTTTTTGAGCTGAGCTGGTCATGGGCCTTCCTCCATCAGCCACAGTAATGGAGCATTTCGGTCATAAGATCCAATCCATTTTTTTACATGGTAAATAAAATATATGGACTCATCTGCGGAACGGCCTGCACATTGTAACAACAGAATATGAGATACTGAACTGGAAGACAGGAAACAGGTGCCATAGAAACAAAGTAGCTTGTAATTAAATTGTACATACTCCTGTTAATGCAGCAGCAGACCTTATAACATCTAAGATGTCCATGTAATTGCTCATTTAATTTCAGAGTGTTGTATAATAATAGTTTTAAAAACTAAGCATTGCATTAAACATCCACTGTAACACCTGAAGAGAACATCAATATCAGTAGCTCGGTAGCAAGGGACATAATTACTAATTATTAACTGAAGTACCTATAGTACTTATATCTTGTCCAGGAGTGATTGACTGATTGTATTATGAAGGTTTCACGCTAAAGTAGGTTGAATGAAACAACTGTGCCTAAAAATGTAAGTTGCACTTCTTAAATAAGGGACTGGGTTTGACATGGAGCCACATATCTCAATTTACTGCTCTCTTTTCCTTTAGTGTCAGACCATCCTGTACAAGACCTTAACTAGCTTTATAAGATTTCTCATTATTTTTATTTTGAGTGAAAAAGATAAGAGCTGCTAAGAGCAATACTTTTTATTTGTTAATTTCTTGATTGAATACATACAGTAAATAGCAAGTAACTTGAACATGGTGTATTTTTTAACAGCTTTGTAGTCTAGTACACAATAAAAATATTTGTTTGTGTTGTGAGGACTTATTATAGCAATAGGAAAATCTAGATCATTCCTGTAGCTGCTGCAGTTGTCAATATCCTAGTCTAATCTTTTTGATGGGACTGTATTTGTACAATGGGCTGTGTAACAAATCCCTTTTTGATAACTTTTGTAGATTGTGTGATTTCAGTTAATGTTCTGTTTATTGTGTAAAAGTAGTAGCACAGATTTAGCTGGATTAGTTATCTCTTCTGCAAAACCGAAAACACCATACAGAGCAGAATGCTCTATACAGTACATAGCTGTTTACTCTAGTCTGTGTCTCACCTTTTAAAACAAATGCATTCTTATTTTCAATCTTTTTTCACAATGCAAAAAAAAAAGTTATTTTTAGTTTTGCTCTCATTGAAAATGCAGGTATGCTTTTAAAAGTAATCTGAAAGTATTTCATCAATACATCTTGGCTTATTGCAAGAAAATGGTTTTGTGGTTTTGATGCAATTCTCTATACTTGAGAATGCCGCACCTTCATAATTACAGAAAATCAGGAAGAAAACCAACATTGAAAATAGTCATTTATTTTCCCCCTACCTAGCTTTAGATTCCTGTGACTCTGCTGTGCTGTGGAGGTACCTTACCTCTCTCCATGACTGGCCAAGGATCTCCCAGTGGATTCAGAGCCTCCACTTCGTGAATGGAAAGCCTTCCCAGCCCACGCAGTGGCCAGTCCTCACAGCAGACACTGTCGATCGCTCCACTCTGTGCAGCAGCTACATGAAGAACGAAATACTGGACCTGCTGGCAAGGTCTAAAAATGATACATTTATCTCTCTGTCTGGTGTGGAAGATAAAGCATTTTGCATACTGTTTGTAGCTAACGGTAAATAGGACAGTTTTAATGAGACAGTTGTATCAATATTCTTGTAAACACAGGTAGTGCACATTTTATTAACATTTTTGATAAAACATGTGGCTCTTATTTGCAGTTTGTAGAAACAATTATTTGTTCTTTAATCGGGGTGTATCTTGGTGTGGCTCAGTGCAATCTGTCTTTATATTTGTGGCTTGTCTTTGTTGTTGCTAGGGGAGGGGTGTTCATTCAGTCTGAGTTATCAGACTTTGAGCAGGTGCTCTGGAGGCTCAGCCAGGCAGGGGGTGTCATGCAACAGAGCCCCCCAGTGCCACAATACCAATCTCTGGGTGGCCCAGACTTCCACACCCGATTTGTGCTCTACTGCCTGGAGAACGACCTCAAATACCTGCTCTATGTCTATCTGGAGCATTATGAGTAAGTGCCTGGAAAGCATTACATATTACTAAACTATCTTAACTATTCGCTTGCAGTAGTAATCTGAAGAAATAAAATTCTGCATCTAAGCCTCCCATTGTATTTAAATGTTTACACTGGTCTTGCCTAGGCTAGAATTTTACAGTACTTTTCACTTCCCCTTCAAAAATAAAAGATCACCTTGATGTTTTGCTTTATTGTTTATCAGAGTAGCCTATATTCCAGGTTTCCCTTAAAACATCAAGGGCATTTAAAGGTTTTTGCAGGGCCTTGGCAATAGTAAGTGAAGAGCAACTAAATATACAACAGTGCCCCCTGGTGATCCGATAGCATGAATTTTGTAAATCCTGCTGTTCAGAAGCATAAGATCATTATCATTTACCAATTCTGTCTTCTCATATTAAGAGATTCCAGAAAGATTTTCTAAGCCTGTTCTCTTTTAAATAGAATAATGGCTTTTCTTTGTGACCTTTTAAGTTTGTTATACCCCGTTGTGATAATGTCTTCTACAGCTTAAATCCAAGAAACTGTGCTGTCCTGGCTGACAAGAGCTTATATGAAATTCATCCATGGTTCGAAATGCTTGTGAAGATGCAAGAAATTCCTAGAAACCCAACAGGTACATCTCAGAATGAGACTGAGAAATATTCTTTTATTACTCTGGTATTATTATAAATTTTAGTTGAGCATAAATACATCACATTTATTAACAGTAACTTTTTATTAATTTATGTTTTCACATACTCAGTAAGCTTACACACTCTCCTTAGATTATATATTTGTTCTTCCATGTGTTTGTGTTTTTTTGACACCAGCGGCCAAAAATTAAGCACTTTGTTGGCTTTGTTCGTAGATCCTAGTGTCATTTTCCAGTCCAGCCTGACCAACGCTCAGATCCTGTTTCCCAGCAGTCAGGCCAGTGTAAGCAGCATGTTATTGGAGGGCCACAGCCTGCTGGCACTCTCCACCATCATGTTTGCACCTGGGGGGTTTGACCAGGTGAGAACAGTCCCTTCACTTCTCTCACTCTCATGTTTCATCACGGTTCTGCTTCTTCATGCAGAAATATAGGCATCAAGCTGCTATGAAAATCCAAGCAGATGTAGAAATGGATGTTTATGTACCACTTGTATCAAACTATTTGTACAAAACTGTGTTCATTTAATAGCACATCTTAGAAACAATATACAGTAGATGACCCATACATACTGTATATAAACAATATAGATGACCTAAAGGAGGTCATCGGTGGAATTCTCAATATTCGTGATTTAATAAAAAAGGAATTATCATGACCTGAGTCTTTTTAACTTCTGTAAATCTGTAAATTGAGCAGTTTGAAGTAAGGATTTTCTCCTCCCCAGGTTGTCAGTCAGACAGGGGAGGGAGACGATTCCCTGTGGAAAGTGGACCTCCAGCTGCTGAAAATGGCCCTGAGCCCTTATCCTAAGCTCAAGTCTGCGCTGTTTCCTCAGACCAGTTCCCGGGGGGCCCCCCCTTCTGACATCTCCATCTACCACCTCTTACAGGTAGAGGCCTCGGAGGCAGTCTGCATGTTGTGACTCGAGTGGACGTGCAGTGAGGCTCTTTTGTAAGCTGCATGCCTGAGCTAATACAGCTATCTTAGGAAAAAGGAAATTAAAATGAAAGATTTTCTCCTTTCTTAAACTTTCTATGGCTGTCTTTACTTTTCATGCATTGGAACAGACTGTTCAAATTGCACCTCCCTCCAGAAACCCAAACTTAGATTGACATATCTTAACATGGCCTATTCAAAATGAATAATGCTAATTGTTATTCTTAACTAGTTTAGTTAATGATGCCGATTAAGAAATAGACAAAATGCAGCAGGAATTGTATCAGAATAGAACAAATAAGGAGTAAAGTTGGCTTTTAAGTTGGTTTAATATTAATACTGTATCATATCAAGGCATAGTTAAAACAGAGTCTATTTTCTTTTTTCACAATTTGACTTGTGAGTTACTTTTGGTAACCTTAAGGATCTGTAATTCGGTTGAAAGGACCCCCTTGTTTAATCTTGCTCTTTCTCTCACAGTCTTTGCACCCTTTAGATCCTTCAAGGCTGTTTGGATGGCAGTCGGCCAACACGCTGGCCACTGTTGGTACGTGTTGCACACTTCTTCACTGCTCCACCTCTGTTGTCTGCCGCTTTCTGAGTCCATCCTAGCAATGTTGTCCTTTCCGTTGTGTAACAGACGCATCAGCTGAGCTGCCTCACTTCTCCAGCCCCCACATTGTTAACAAGTATGCTGTGATTGAAAGCTTGGATTTCCTGTACTACCTGCGTCACGGTCGCCCGTCATTTGCCTTTGGGACTTTTCTTGTACAGCAGTCGTCAAATACCACTTTTTTCAGGGAACAGTAAGTATATTGCAGGACCTGGAGAAACTATGCAAACTAGCATTACAAGCACACTGGAAATCAACCTTAATAACTTTGAAATGCTACAGATCAATTTTGCCACTTAGGTCTATTCATCTTGCCTGCCAAAGGCTGCTGGTAAATACAAAGTGAAAATGTTCTTCAGTCAATAAAGTGCCAAAGACATCTATAGCTTCTAGGATCTGGCCTTTTATGTTATCATTAGAGTACCAATTCAACTAATTGCTTCATGTCCGATAAGAAGAATTAAAATGATCAAATCACAGAGAATAGTGATTAATGTTTTTATTTTTCAGGATCATTCTTGCAATTGACCAGGCCTATATTCTGGGACTGCTGCACTTTGATGTCCCATCTGTCACAGCTGCTTGTGTTGGATTTTGTGAATTATTGGGTGTCAGTAGCCTGAAGCTTCGGGTTGATTTCAAAATCTTAAACCTGATCTTGAAGCATTGGACTGGGAGCTCAGAAGAAAGCAAAAATGCGTCGCTGAGAGAGTTGTTGGGTAACTATTTTAAATTATGAATGCTTTGTTAGATGTTTTAATTAGA